TTTTAGTCTCCAGTCCCCTAATCATCCTGCTTGTTTTTCTCTGTACTTTTTTTAGAGTCTCAACATCTTTTTTAGGTGACCAAAATTTAAAACAAAATTTAAGACAATTTAAAACATACACACATAGTAACATCACTACACTGAAACTTCATAAATAACAGCAGCAAAAAGCAGTCCTGAAACAAAGGCAATAGTAAGGACAATACAAGTGAAAATTAAACATGGCATCATAAAATCAGGGGAAGACACCAAAACAATTCCCTTTATAATAGTTTTTGAACCATTAACAAAGAGTGGGCTGGTCTAATCTCCACCAACAGGATGGTTCCACAGCATCAGTGCTCCAAAAAAAAACCAGTATTTTCTCACTTCAGTACCTCTCGTTTTGAAAAATGTGAGATTTGTAGCAGTTTCTCCTGTTTAATCTGATCAGTTGGGCTGATACTGATTGTTGTAGGTGGTCTTGTGGATATCTGGGTACCTAGTCGTAAAGAATTTTCATAGGTCAAAAATTGTATCTGGAAACCAATTGCCAACCAATGCAAGATCTGCAAAACTAGAATTATGTGTCCCCAATGCCAGGAACCAGAAAGTCTATCCATTCAATGTTGGTTCAATTGCAAGTAGTTTTTAAGGACAGCTCCAAGTTGAGTACAAGTAGTCCCCAGCTTACAACTCAAAATTACAACAGCAACGGCACTGAAAAAAGTGAGTTATGACCGTTTTTGACAGTTACGACCTTTGCAGTTTCCCCATGATCATAAGATCAAAATCCAGATGCTTGGCAACAGATTCATTTTTATGACTGTTGCTGTGTCCCAAGGTCATGTGATCACCTTTTGCAACCTTCTGATAGCAAAGTCAATGGGGAAGCCAGATTCACTTAACAGCCGGGTTATTAACTTATCAGCTGCAGGAATTCACTTAACAACTTTCGCAAGAAAAGGTTGTAAAAAGGGGGAAAACTCACTTAACAAATGTCTCACTTAACAACAGAAATGTTGGGCTGAATTGTGGTTGTAAGTCGAGGACTACCTGTACATTGCAGTAGTCTAACTGGGGTGGATGGGTGATGAGGGCATGAGGTCAGGCACAAGAAATCGGGAGTCAGGATTAGATCCAAAACGAGTACAAGTTTATTTCATGCATCCTCTAAACAAAAATCTGAACTACCCATGATCAAGGCAAGGCAGTAGGTAACAGTAAACGGAATTCAAGGAGGGCTGGATTTAGATTTTTTATGGGCGCGAAAAGACTCCAAATTGATAACTTGCTCGATCCATCCCTTGGGCTCAGCCTGGTCATTTCCTACACGTGAATCACTGTAGCCAGGTCCTCCTGCCCAGTACTGTCACAAAGCTGGACATAGGCCCTTCTGGGAATCACCTTCACCTTGCTCGTCCAGTGGGAGCTGTGAGTCCAGAAGAAACCTCCGTTTGTGAACCCGCTTCTTCAAGGGTAAACGTCCATCCAAGAACAACTGTGGCTGGATCTAAGAATCTCAGTGTAAAATTAGCAATTGATCAAGGATCAGTTTCATTCTGTTCTCTATCTTCCAGACCCTGACAGTTTCCAAATATCAGAAAAGATCTAGGACAGGGTCTCTCTCATGCAGTGGTGGGATTCAATTTTTTTACTACCGGTTCTGTGGGCGTGGCTTGGTGGGCGTGGCAGGGGAAGGATACTGCAAAATCCCCATTCCCTCCCCATCCCACTAACCTGATTTCCAGCTCCATTCTCCTGTGCAGGGCAACAAAAGAAGAGCCAGCCAATCAGCTGGGACTCGGGAGGCAGAGAATAGATGGGGGCGGGGCCAGTCAGAGGTGGTATTTGCCAAGTTATCCTAACTACTCAATATTTCCGCTACCGGTTCTTCAGAACTGGTCAGAACCTGAGCAGAACCACCTCCGCTCTCATGGTCCGGAGTAGCAATATAGCCTTCCCTACCCACCTGAGGCACGTCATGCGCCTTACCTTACTGCATTCCACTCTCTGCTTGGATTTCATCTCCCTCTCTTCACTAGAGGCTCGCTGAAAGGGTTGCCTGCTGAAGGATATCATCTCCCCTCTGTGCTTGGAAGGGAATGCCTTTGATGGGGTGCAGGGATGGGGCTCAGATCTTCGTGATCCATTTCACCACCCCACCAAAAGAACATGCAGAAGAGAACTCCTTCCACAGAGTGCATAAACATTCAAATCATCAAGATCTGAGCTTTGTTTCTCACCCCACGGAGGGAGTTCAGCTACCTTTGGCAGGCAGCTCTTTCAGCGAGTCCCAAGAGATGAGCTGAAGTCCTCTCGGCAGGTGGCAGCTTGCAACCTTCCATGCTGACTTCCCCAATGATTTTCTGGGGAAGCTGACAGAGGAGACTGCAAATGGCCATCCCATGATTGTAGGGCACTTGGCAGCCAGTTGTAAGAATGAACCAGGCATCCAGATTGTGATCGTGTGATTGGGAGGGAGTCTTTTTATGACAGCCAAAACTGTTTTATGGGCTGTCATAATTTCCAACAATTCTTAAACAACCAGTTTTAAGTCCTCTATCTGTAATGCTGAAGGTTGTTGGAAAAATTTGAATTGAAAGTGCTCTCAATAAAATCAAGCTGATTTTCAGGTGAGATTTACCTCAGCAGATTGCCACATATACTTTCTAAAGATAACCACTTATGGCTTAAAACTCCTATCTTACCTAATATTGTCTTTGTAATTGCCATCTGTTATTAATAAACTTATGAAACATAGAAAATATTTTGGGGAAATACAGATTGGCTTCCTCTGCAGTTGGTTGGCCATCATAAGAACAGTCTGCTGGATTAGATGGGCCAGCCAGGGGTCCGATCCAGCAACACACTGCTTATGTTCAAAAAAGCAGCTGGTACTTCACTAAGTAAATAAGGCTATCATCATTCTCTTCTGCTTTATAGGATAGTAAGCTTGTGAGACAGTTAAACACAGGATATTTTGTAAAGAGGCAGCCCTGATTGCTGTTTCCTAGTACCTTATAGGAAAAAGCAAGATTTTAGGCTGTGTGTTGTTGTTCCTGTTGAATAACCTCAATTTCTGAGAGTTTTTGTAAATAAAATTGACTTGAAGCAAAATTGCTTTGCCTAAAAAAAAGAAAAGAAAAACAGTGGGCCTCAAGGGCTTGTATCAATAACTATAATGTTCCTGAAGACTTCTATAAAGCTATTGTATCTGTCAGTTATACAGGCATAAAAGAAGTTGCTTTTTGAATATTGTCCTTATATGCATTTCATTTTTAAATGTGCCAAGTAGTCATGCAGTGCATCAGGGGAGTCTGGACAGTAATGATGGCTTATGTATTCACTCTGAAAGGCAAATTGGCCCATTCAGGTCTGATTTGCTTTGTATTTGTTCCATGCTGGAGAGGGAAAATTTGCCACAAATAAAGGTGGAAATGATCTCATTGCTTGATGGATGCATAGCTATTTCCATCCTTGGCTTGAATTTATGCCTTTCTCATTGGTAAAGCTTTAGATATAGTACTAGTAATATAGAAGTTTCAGACTCTTAAAGTTCAAAAGGTTGAATAATGCTGAATTTCTCATCAAAAGTAGGCTATGTAGTTATGAAGGAACCCTCCAAGCACAATCCTAGTCATGAATTAATACAAAGACTGTTTATTTTATTTATCTACTATATTTATATGCTGCTCAGCTGATTGTTTAAGTGACTCTGGGAGGCTTACTAAATGAAAAAAGAATAAATTGAAAAATAACTAAAATTAGTAAGAATTAAAGAGACAAAAACTAAGAGTACAAACAGTAGTGAAGGGAGGTCTTCTCTTTTACACAATCAACCACCTCCAATATAGAGCACCTCATAGGAGCCCAGCAGAGCCAAAGATTTAAGGCCTTTTCAGAAATCCAAGAGGACGGGAATGGATCTCACCTCCAACAAAGGAAGGAGGAGGGGGGACATGGTAGAGATGTAAAAAGTCATACATTGCATACAAAAATAATTGGAGAGGATTTTTTTTCTCCCTCTTTCATAATGTTGGAATCAAACTAATCCTCTGAAACTTGAGATTTAAGCAGAAGATCAGGACAAATAAATATTAATTCCAATTATCTTTCCCAACCAGCATTTTCCAAGTTTGTTAGGATTTATTTGGCTATATTGGCTGGGGGATTTGAGGAATGGCACTATATTTGGAGGGTCTTCAGCTTAAGAATGATAGATATAAGCATTAAATAAATTATAGCTTATTCTTCTGTTACAAAAATGTGAAGAGAAGTTGAATTAGTATATATCTGGCTTGGACCCATGTTAAGTGTGAGTCATCCTGCCATGAAAAAGTTCCCCATCACAGGAAAAACAGTTGTTCTGTGCAGAACTCTTATCTTCTTTCAGTGCCTGTTCGTGCACTCCATGCAAGGGGAGCAGTCAAATTGCTAGGAGAGGAAGTCAGATAATTGGGTATTAATGTAGCCCATAAAGAAAAGGGCAGTTATTATGTTTTTTTTCTCTGCAAAGCTAAGGAGTATGAATGGTGAGGGAGGGAAAAGCCAAGACATTCCTTGTTCCAGACAATTCCAATTCAGCTACATTCATACAACATCCTAAACTAGGTCATTTATTGTGTTGGTTCCTTTCCTGTAGGTTAGTATGTTGTCAAAACCCAATGTAACGAGTTTATGGTTTAGTACTATGTGACCAGAATATGTGTTACTTCAATAACTAACATAATCGCAACCTTTCATTTATGCAAGGCATCTCCAGAGATCCCAACTTGATGGGTTGATTGAACAAAGCAATAATGTATGGTTGTTTCCTCATCTGCTTGTTTATATGTGCATATGTATATTTGTGCAAGTTCTTATTTCTGGGGAATTTCAAACCCTCGAGATGATGGAAATGGTACTGTGATAGGATTGTTGCCTGTTTGCAGGATTGTATCCATCAATACATCCAGTCACAGAGGAAGCTAAGTATGCATTAATGTCTTCAAAATGTTTATTTACTTGTTCCTCTGCAGGATTTGGGAATGGAATCAACTTCACTGGATGATGTCTTATATCGCTATGCCAGCTTTAGAAACCTTGTTGACCCAATCACCCATGACCTGATCATCAGCCTTGCCAGATACATCCATTGCCCTAAACCAGTAAGTACTCACTTGCAGTTGTTTGGGTTTGTTTGAGGAAAGAGTAAAATTGCTACCTATAACAAAAGGGTTGCTAGAGCTCACATCTCTTAGAAGGAATTGCTAATTGAACCATCTGAGAACTGGCTCATATCTTGATCGACTTTTCTACCTTGTGTGGTGGCAAACTAGAGCGTGATTCTGGGGCTGAATTTATAGGATGCAGGCAGCTATCCAGGAGTATTTCAGCAGCCACTGGTGGATGAAATGTTGGGAGACAAGTATTTACAAAAAGGGCTACTGAGTGTGAAAATAATTGTAATTAGATAGGGGCAAAATGTTTGGGCTTGTGATAGAAACTCTGTTGGACCAAAATGGATGAAAAAGATGAGTTCAAAAGTCATTAGCACAAGGGAGGAAAAACTCTTGCTGTGGTAGCTAGGTTGTATCCACAGAACTTGCTTAAGCAGGTTAAATGAAGAACGACCAGTTACATTCCATAACATATTATGTGCAGTTATCATTAACCTTGATTTTATATATGGATTGTTTATCATAAAGTATAAATTCAGTCTGTTTTAGAATAGAATAGAATAACAGAGTTGGAAGGAACCTTAGAGATCTTCTAGTCTGCTCAGGCAAGAAACCCTATACTATTTCAGACAAATGGTTGTCCAACATCTTTTTAAGAACTTCCAGTGTTGGAGCATATACAACTTCTACAGGCAAGTTGTTCCACTGATTAATTGTTCTAACTGTCAGGACATTTCTCCTTAGTTCTAAGTTGCTTCTCACCTTGATTAGTTTCCACCCATTGTTTCTTGTCCTGCCCTCAGGTCCTTTGGAGAATAGCTTGACTCCTTCTTCTATGTGGCAGCCACTGAGATATTGGAACACTGCTATCATGTCACCCCAGTCCTTGTTTTCATAAGACTAGACATATCCAGTTCTAGCAACTGTTCATCGTATGTTTTAGCCTCCAGTCCCCTAATCATCTTTGTCGCTGTTCTCTGCACTCTTTCTAGAGTCTCAATATCTTTTATTACATCGTGGCGATCAAAATTGGATGCAGTATTCCAAGTGTGGCTTTCCCAAGGCATTATAAAGTGGTATTAACACTTCATGTGATCTTGATTCTATCCCTCTGTTTATGCAGCCTAGAACTGTGTTTTTTGGCAGCTGCAGCATATTGCTGGCTCATATTTAAGTGATTGTCTATTAGGACTTCAAGATCCCTCTCACAGTCACCACTATTGAGCAAGTTTATATTAGTTTATGGTTTGATATATTATTAGCCAGGTTAATTTATAAATCAGGATAAGTGTGTATTAATTCAGCCACTCTGTCATCTTGGTAATCCTTTTCATCTGATATCTAACCTTTATGTCACAATAAATTTTGTACAATCCACAGAAATCAGGTGGGTGGAGAATCTAGCTGACCTTGGTTGATTTTGAAAAGTTGAGCAAGGCCAGACCTACTTAGTGCTTAGATGAAAGACTCCATGAAATCCAAGGTTGTAGTTAGTTAGATTAGGAAATTTGTGGAAAAAATCTTAAAAGAAACAAATTGGAAACCACTGTTGTATTGTTGCCGAGAAAACTACAAGTTGCCAGATGTTGAGCCTGACTTGGACGAGAATTTGCCTTTGTCTGAGCTGCACAATATCTAGGCGTGTATGCAAAGCACACAATTTCTCTGTGGCTCTGACGGAATGGTTTATGCAGAAACAGGCATAAATAGGAACATTCCCTCCATTTTCCTCCCATCCTTCAATATCTGATTCTAGGGCTGTTCTTGAGCAGAGTACTGTAGTTCTTGTTTAAACAGAACTGCATATTTATTTGCCATGGGGAATTCCTTGCTTCTATTTGTTTTGTTAATGGGCTTATTTGTCTCTTTTTGGGATATTGTGTTCCTTTCTCTGGATATTCATTGCTTGTTTCCAATAAGATTATATTTGTCATTGGACATTTTTCAACTGCCTGCCTGCAAAGGACATTTATGGTGAGGATTTGGCCTTTTTAATGCAGGAGAGAGAACCCAAGGATTTATTGCAGCCTGGCTCCAAATTTTTGTTGCCTTGTTTGGGCCTTGCTCATTCAATAATAGCTATAATTCTACCCATAGGCCTCCTTAGAAAATAAAACTAGTAATTGCAGTCTAATATTGTTGCTGGAATTGTTCCCCCTATCAAGACATCTAGGCAACGGTAAACTCTGGGGCTAGGAAGCAATGTTGCCAATTTCTAAGAAATAGCACTTTGTCAAGTCCAGTCTGGCCATTGTTTTGTGACTAGGAGTGCCTGTGACCTGGTTTCAACATTCTCGGAATGTTTGCCAAGATCAAAACGTAGCCTTAAACCAAGGATGTGTTCCTACTGAAATAGTGGGATATCTTGGCTTTTTTAGAATAACAGAATAACAGGAAAAGACCTTGGAAGTCTTCTAGTCCAGCGGTCACCAACTGGTGGGCCACAGCCCACTGGTGGGCCGTGAGAAAATTTTGGTGGGCTGCAGAGAAATCTCACCCTCAGAGCAATTAATTCAGGCTCCGCAGAAACACAAGGCTGCGCCGCCCACATGGCCCACGGGAAACCTCCACGCCCACTCACTCCTTACCCGGTAAACTTGCCTGCTAAATTGCTATTTTTCCTTTTTCCGACCATCATCTGTTCTGCTGTGCTGGGAGATTTAGATTAGCTAGGAAGCAGGAAATGGATGGATTTCTTGCTTTCTAGCTAGTCTTTAGATCTTCGGCTCAGCACAGCCAAACCTCCCTTAGGACTGAAGGTTTGCTTGCAAGCAAATTCCGTGCAGACTCACGGCAAGCAAATTTGAGAGACTGAGCTAGCCGATGGCAGATAGATAGATCACTGAATGATTCTGTGAGCAACTCAATCTGCCTGCTTTGCCTGATTTTGGGTAAAAGTTGCTCTTTTTTTAATAAAAAAATCAATATTTACATGCATGGTGTGTTGTGAGTTAATTTTGTGAGCTTGCTTGCTAGAAAATTTCATGAGTTTGCTTGCAAGCAAATTTTATGTGACAGACTGAGCTAGCCAATGGCAGATAGATATATCTCTGAATGAATCTGTGATTCTGTGAGCAACTCAATCTGCCTGTCTGCTTTGCCTGATTTTGGGTAAAAGTTGCCCTTTTTTTAATAAAAAATTCAATCTTTATATATAATATTTACATACAAGCCATGCCCAGCCAGTCACATGACCACCAAGCCACATCCACAAATTAGGCCACGCCCACAGAACCGGTTAGTGGTCCCTGTGATCTAAAATTATGAGTTTGGTGGTCCCTGAGGTCCAAAAGGTTGGCGACCCCTGTTCTAGTCCAACCCCTTGCTTAAGCAGGAAACCTTATACCATTTCACAAAAATATTTGTCCAATCTATTCTTAAAAACCTCCCATTTTGAAGCACCCACAACTTCTGGAGGCAAGTCATTGCATTGACTAATAGTTCTGTCAGGAAAATTCTCCTTAGTTCTAGGTTGATTCTGTCTTTGATCAGTTTCCATCCATACCTTCTTGTCTTGCTTTCTGGTACTTTGGAGAATAGGTTGACCCTCCTCTTCTTTGTGGCAGCCCCTCAAATATTGGAACACTGCTATCATGTCAAACCCCCCCCACCCCGGTTCTTCTTTTCATTAAACTAGACATACCCAAAACGTGCCAAGTGTTCTTCATATGGCTTAGCTTTCAGTCCCCTAATTGCCTTGTTGATCTTCTCTGCACTCTTTTTAAAGTCTTTTCATTTTTTATACTGTGGTGACCAAAACCGTGTCCATATGCAGGTGAAAAAAAGCTGCTCTTCCATGGAGAACATAGTCGTTTTGTGACTACCATTGCATTGTTTATTAATGATTTGGAAGAATAATTGCCATTTGAGTACTTATTTCAAACATTTAAGGTGGGGAGATTGTGTTTAACTGAATAGACAACAATCCTATTGATTCTTCCCCTCTTGAGCACATGTTTTTCTACATATGAAAGAAGGACGATAGGAGCTCTTCTTCCTGACAATAGTGAGTGCAAATTACATGGAAATGAGCTTTCCCTAAATGCTTGAAATATTTTTATTCTGCTCTGTCACAAGGACCAAACACATAAACTGCTGAAGAGAAAATTGAATTGGGGATAAATGACTTAATACAGCAGGTGCATTTAGATGCTTCCCAGCAGAGGGGAAAAGCGAAAGGAAAGTTGTGTATGCTGGCTGGGGTGGGCGGACACAAAACACCTAGGGCATGATTTTGACAAGTAGGCATGCCCTGGAGAGACATTTCCAAGCTAAGGCATATGATAAAACTTGATTGCTAGGCAATCCGGCGCATTCCTTAAGTGGACATTTATGATAATTATTGCTAAAACTCCTTGATTTAGAAATGAGTTCCACTGTTGTTGTTTTTTAATGGGCTTACTTTATTGAATGGTTAAATCACTATTTATTTGATGGTGCTGCTTTCAGATGGTAATGATAAGTTAATTGCACCCATTGCAAAACTCTCACAAGGTTGAATACTAATGCTACCCTAAACAAAGTCTTCGGTAGGTATTTGGATTCTATTTAGCTTTACAAGCTCTCCAGGTTTTCCTAACAGCATGGATAATAGATGTTTGCAATGTGAAAATGACACATATTGCAATACTTGAGCAGCTGGATTATTACTCAGAATTCAACATTGGCAACTTTGAGCTTCTACGCAGCAAGAGACTAATAATTTACATTATTATGTTGGATAATAAAGCAAAGCTAGCTGAGGAATTCTGGGAGTTGAAGTCCACAAGTCTTAAAATTGCCAAGGTTGGAGACCCCAGACTCAGATGACGTTAGCTTCAAAACAGTACTTTTCTTTGAGCTGTAGGAAGTTAGCACCCACCCCTCTCTTAGAAAATTGAAATATCCTAGGAAATATTAAGGCAGAATATTTTCTCTAAAAAAGAGTAGAAACTCAGAAGCAGAAACTCAGCTCAGAAGCAGAAGCTGACCCCCACCTTTATTACCTC